TTTTCTACTTCCTAATTTTTTTTTTATTAACTCTTTCTTTTATTTATTGAGTCCCTATTTGTAATGATTAATTTAAATTTCTTTTATTTATTGAGTCCCTATTTGTAATGATTAATTTAAATTTAAATTAAAGTCAAAATTAATTTTAACCACATATTTCAATGGACCTACAATTTTTTAACCACAAATTTCATTAACTTTTATCAAAATTTACTAAAATTTGATTTAGTAGGGTCCAATATTATGTCAACATAAGCAAATAATATTACGTTATGATAAGACAATATCTGAATGGCACGCAGCATGGCAAGACGATAAAGTCAAATCTTATTTTTTTTATGATTTAAGACATCTAATTATTGCGTTTTCCCTTTTCAATATTATTTAAATACCATATATCATCGGTTTGGTTTAGATAAAAGGTTGATAAAAATTTAAATTAAAGTTAATAATTGATTTTGACAACAAATTTTATGTAATTCATAACTTTCATTAACTTTTTAACCATATATTTTATCAACTTTTATAAAAATCTCCTAAAAATACATTTAAAAAAAAAAAACTAAATCTGTTAGGGGCATAATAAATAAAATAATGCATATTGTTGTGAAAAGAGAGAAAAAGAGAAAAAAATAAAAATCAATAAACTTATGCGTATTATAATTGGAACCATAACCCTATATTTATAGGGCAGGATTAGGGATATAATAGTAATAATTTCTAGAACTTTAGGGATACATTTGTAATTCACTAATAAACTTACCATTTACAGCACTCCCCCTTGAATGACACATTACAAAATATCTACCACATTAAAACCTTGTTTGATAAAAACCTAATGAGACAAAAAATCAAACGAAGAAAAAAGAGTACGATTATTTTGGAGTATTAAAAATAAATGTTGCCTCATTAAAACCTCTAGGAAAATCCAGTGAGATAAAACCTAAACGAAGGAAAAGAGTACAACTACTCTCCCTAATGCTGATTACTGAAAATCTTTAAATTGATGCATTCTAATCTTGTAAACCAATTTTTTGAATAGAGATGTTGGCAGTGTTTTTGTACATAAATCAGCCACATTGTCATTCGAACGAATTTGTTAAACATTGATGTCGACATTCTTCTAAAGCTCATGTGTATGAAAGCATTTTGAAAAAATATGCTTCATTATATCGCCTTTGATATAACCTCATTTAAGTTGTACAATACAAGCAACATTGTTTTCATACTAAATTGTTGGACTATGTTTTGTTGAAATTAATCTGCATGATACTTGGATATGATATGGCATGTTCCTCAACCATACACATTCTCGGCCTGCTTCACGGAGTGTAATAATTTTAGATTGATTTGATGATGTTGCTGTCAATGATTGTTGGTGTAGAGCTCTATCTTACAAGGAGATTTACAGAAAAAGTTATGTTGAATCGAGTACAGTTTGCAAAGTAAGTTAATGCTCCAGTTGTACTAAGATATAGTACTTCATGACCAAGGACTTTTTCTCCATCTTCAAGTGGACGAAAATGATCATTTTTTCTATCAAGTGATCGAACAACCATAGGTGAAGCAAATGGATGTGNATTAATCTGCATGATGCTTGGATATGATATGGCATGTTCCTCAACCATACACATTCTCAGCCTGCTTCATGGAGTGTAATAATTTCAGATTGATTTGATGATGTTGCTGTCAATGATTGTTGGTGTAGAGCTCTATCTTACAAAGAGATTTACAGAAAAAGTTATGTCGAATCGAGTACAGTTTGTAAAGTAAGTTAATGCTCCAATTACACTAAGATATAGTACTTCTTGACCAAGGACTTTTTCTCCATCTTCAAGTGGACAAAAATGATCATTTTTTTACATCAAGTGATTGAACAACCATAAGTTATGCCAATTGATGCGCTTTATCCATATAAAAGCATTTTAAGACTTTTTCTGTATATGTAGATTGATGAACAAATAATCATTTTAGGAAATGTTCAATCTGCTACCTAAGACAGAATTTGATTTTTTCCAAATCTTTCATCTCAAATTCATTTTTCAAATAATTTATAGTTTTGTTGAGCTCTTCAGAAGTTCCAATTAAATTTAAATCATCAACATAAACTTCACAATTGCAAATGCAATATTTGTTTTCTTTATAAAAATACATGGATAGATATAGTCATTTTTATAGCTTTATTTCAAAAAAATATTTGATGAGGCGATTATACTACATATGTCCGAATTGTTTCAATCCAAATAATGATCTTTACAATTTAATTGAGGACATGGTTCTTGGGCATGTATCATTTGTTTCTAGCACCTTAAGTCCTTCAGGACTTTTATATATATATCACTATCAAGTGAATCATACAAATAGGTAGTCACTATATCCATAAGACGCATATCAAGCCTTTGTGACACAGTCAAATTAATTAAGAATCTAAAAGCAATTGTATCCATTACGGGAAAATATGTTTCCTCATAATCAAGTACTGGTTTTTGTGAGAAACCTTGAGCTACGAGTCAGGCTTTGTATCTAAATTTCATTATTTTTTATTTCTTTTTCATATAAAAACCTACTTGTATCCAACAAGGATTACATTTTCAAGAATTCAAACTACAGGTCCAAACACTTTCAATTCTCTAAAGAACTCAATTTCTCCTGTATGACTTCTTTCCACTTCGACCAATTATTTCTACGTTGACAGTTTTTAACAGACTGTTGTTCAGGATCCTCATTTTGCATACTATCAAGAGCCACGATAAAGACGAAAATATTATCTATAACAACATTATTTTGCTCTTATATTTTATGTGATAACATTTAATTTATTGAAATTTCATTATTTTCGGACAATTGTGAATTTTCAAGAACCATATTTTCAATATTTTATTAATCAATTTTTTCTAACGTCGCTTCTTCTGAAATTTTTGGTTGGT